TAAGTGCATAGTGAATGATTTAAAATCAGGAAAGGTGTGTGCCAGGGTTGTGTGTGCCATACTTATTCAATCTGTATGCTGAGCAGGTAATCCAAGAAGTTGGGTTATATTAAGAAGAATGTGGCATCAGGATTAGAGGAAGGTTCATTAGCAACCTGCAATATGCAGATAACATAACTGTGCATGCTGGATGCAAAGAAGACTTGAACACTTACTGATGAAGATCAAAGACCACAGTCTTCAGTAGGGAATGAACTTCAATGTACAGAAAACAATCATCCTCACACCTGGACCAATAAATAACATCATGATAATTGGAGAAAAGATTGAAGCTGTCAAAGACTTCATTTTGCTTGGATCTACAATCAAAATTCATGGAAGTAGAAGCCAAGAAATCAAATGATGTATTGCACTAGGCAAATCTTTAGAGCAAAGATGTCAGTTTTAGGACTAAGGTGCGTCTGACCCAAGCCATGGTTTTTTCAAATGCCTCAGGTGCATGCGAAAGTTGGACAATGAATAAGGAAGACCAGAGAAGCACTGATTCCTTTGAGTTCCGGTGTTGGAGAAGACTATTAAAAGTACCATGGACTTGCAGAAGAACAAACTAAGTTGTGTTGGATAAAGCACCGTCAGAAATCTCCTTAGAAACCTGGATGGCGAGATTTTGTCTCTCATACTCTGGACATTTTATAACTAGGGACCATTCCCTGGAAAAGGCCATCATGCTTTGTCAAATGGAGGGTCAGTGAAAAAGAGGAAAGCCCCCAAGGAGATGAACTGGCACAGTAGCAGCAACAATGGGCTCAAATGTAACAACAATTGTGAGCTCCTAAAAAACAACAACAATGTGACCTTGGACAAGTTACTTAACTCCTGTGTGTGTTTTTCCATCTGAAAAATGGAATCTACTTCACCGGGGTGGTGACACATTGAATGTATTCATATTCTAAATTGTTGTTGTTAAGTGCCATCGAGTCGGTTCTGACCAACAGTGACCCTGTATAGGGTTTTCAAGGAGCAACTGGTGAGCTTGAGCCACCGACCTTGTGGTTCAAAGAGACTTTGCAGTCCAGCACATTGACCCACAGCGCCACACCAGGACTCCATATTCTAAGTACTTGGAATATAATTTGGTACCGTTGTTAAGTGCTGTTAAGTCAGTTCTGACTCCTGTCAACCCTGTATAGGGTTTCCTAGGAGCAGCTGGTGGGTTTGAACTGCTGACTTTGTGGTTCACAGTCCAGTACTGAAACTCCAGTGCCACACCAGAACTAGAAGTGTGCTATATGGGCTTAGCTGCTACCCCCTACTACTTCCACCCTAATCCAAGCCATCAGCATTTCTGCCCTGGACTGAAATGTTTTTGTTAGGTGCCATCAAGTCGGCACCGACTCATAATGACCCTCTGCCCAACAGAACGAAACACTTCCTGGTCCTGTGCCAACCTCACAATCGTTGCTACATTTGAGCCCATTGCTGCTGCCACTGTGCCAATCCATCTTGTTGGGGTCTTCTTTTTCTCTGACCCTCTACTTTACCAAACATGATATCCATCTCCAGGAACTGGTTCCTCCTGACAAAATGTCCAAAGTATGAGAAATGACCGATTATTCTGGCTTCTAAGGAGCATTCTGGTCGTACTTCTTCCAACACAGATTGGTTTGTTCTTTTGGCAGGCCATGGTATTCTCAACATTCTTTTCCAACACCATAGCTCAAATGCATCAGTGGACCACAAAAGTTCATTCCTTATTGTCCTCTCTGCCTTTCCTGGTGCCCAGAGCAGCTGTCAGAGCCATCTCCTTAAAATGGTTAGCAGATATTTCCCTTCTAGGAAAAATACCTGTAATGGCTTCTCATACTACGAGGTGCAGAAAGCAGCTTTGGCCTTTGTTCTGGTTAATGAGTGACTAGACCAACAGGGACCACCTGGTGCCCAATGGTGCCTAGCCTCTGGAGACATGATGTCATCTATCACAGCCATGAGAGGAAGCCAATAAGAACCCTGAACCCTAAAGCTCAGATGAAATTCCTGGCTGAGAGCTTCCTTGTTGGGGATAGCTTCCTGGTTGGCAAGAATTTCTGTTCTCAAGAAGGCCATGCATCCTTGGGGACATGGAAGCTTCCACACTGAGAACCCTCCCAGAGCTTGCCCCGATGCTATTCCTTTTGGCTCTGGTCATAAGTATGATAGGCTGTTTGGAGTCGATTCTGACTCATAGTGAGCCTTCCTATGGGGCAGAGGACAACTAACCCATAGGGTTTCTAAGGCAATCATTTTTATGAAAGCTGACGGCCACCCTTTTCTTCTATGGAGTGGCTAGTGCGTTCAAAACCCCAACCTTTTGATCAGCAGCCAAGGGTTTTACCCACTGCAGCTACTCCCTGCAGCTTCGGTGAGTTGTTTCCATGGATTACTGAACCCACAGAGGTAGCATGTCAGAAAGTATGTGTGTCGTGTGGCTGCCTGAACTTGCACCTGGCTTCCTGAAGGGGTAGTGAGAAACCAGCCCCAAACCTATGGCAAGTGTCACATGGACTCCCCAGACGCATGGCTGGCATCTGCCGATGTGGCAGTCTGAAGGACTGTGGCCTCTTGTGATCTTTGACATTGCTATGGCTGGTAAGGATCAAAGAGAAAGAGCGCCATGGAAACGGCTGGTGATAAGGTCGGAGAAGTGGAGTGTGAGGGCAGATCAATCCACTCCACATTTTGGGCATTGAATTCATACCGTTCCTTATTATGTAATTGGTGATGAGGATGGCATTTGCCTCTTACTTAGCACACATACTTAAAATAAAACCCAAACTCTCCACCATGGCCATATCTGCCCACCTGTCTGCCTCACCTTCCACTCCCCTCTCCACCCACCCTGCCAGACCTCAGGGAGATGGTGTTCCTTGACATGCTCCATGAAAAAGCTAAGCTTCTTCCCGCCTCAAGACCTTGACTCTGGTATCCTTTACTTGGAATGCTCACCCCAAAGATTCTCACAGGGCTGGACCCTTCTGTTCAGGTCCCCCTGTTCAGAGCTGCAAAGAGACCATTCACTGACTACCTCACTAAACTGCAACTAACTCAAGTTCTAAGCAATTTATTTAGCTATTTACTCATTAGCTCTGTGAGAGCAAGGACTTTGGGAGGTCCAATCACAGCTGGCTTCCAGGCATTTAATAAACTTCTATGCTAAGCCCTACGTCTGCAATAATTCCCGTCATGCTCATGTTCTTTCAGTGAGTTGAGATAAATGCATCCAAACGATTGATGCTAAGGACCTAGGTGTTATTATTATTATGCGCAACACTGCCTGGTCCGGCACCAATCTCACAATTGTTTCTACGCTTGTGCCCATTGCTGCTGACACGGTGCCAATCCATCTAGTTGGGGGCCTTTCTCTTTTTCTCTGACCCTCTGCTTTACCCAACAAGATGATATCCTTCTCCAGGGACTGGTCCCTCCTGACAATATGTCTGAAATATGATGCCCTTCCCCAGGGACTGATCCTTCGTGATAATAAGTACAAAGTATATATTTCTAATACATAGTTGACAAATATGTTATATGTAAGACAATTAAAAGAAAAAATTTTAAACCAAGAGTATAAAAAATATAAATTCCAATTTTATGTTTGCATGCAATAAACACTTGTCATTTTACAAAAAAATTTAACAAAAGTAAATATCTATACCAGGAAAGGAAATTTTAAAAAGGGTTGTAGCAAGTATATATCCAGCCCTGGTATGGCACTGAGGGTTAATGCACTCACTGGACTGCAAATTCGGTTTAATCACAAAGTCAAGCTCACCAACCACTTCTCAGAAACCCTATACAGAGTTGCTATGAGTTGGAACTGACTCAATGGCACTTAACAACAACAAATATATATAGATAGATAGATAGATAGATAGATAGATAGATAGATAGATAGATAGATAGATAGAGAGAGAGAGAGCTCTGGTAGAGTAGTGGTTACAAATCGGGCTGTGAACCACAAGGTCAGCAGTTCGAAACTACCAGCTGTTCCACGGGAGAAAGATGAGGCTTTCTGCTCCCGTAAAGATTTACAGCCTCAGAAACCCTGTACAGGGTCGCTATAAGTTGGAACTGATTCCATGGCACTTAACAACAACAATACATATATATTCCAGAACACTTAATTGTGCTCATGAGGAATCTGTACATGGACCAAGAGACAGTTGTTCGAACAGAACATGGGAACACTGAATAGTTTAAAATTAAGAAAGGAGTGTGACAGGGTTGTATTCTTTCATCATACTTACTCAACCTGTATGCTGAGCAAATAATCTGAGAAGCTGGGTTATATGAAGAAAAAATATGCATCAGGATTGGAGGAAGACTCATTAATAACCTGTGATATGCAGATGATACAACTTTGCTTGCTGAAAGTGAAGAGGACTTAAAACATTTACTGATGAAGATTAAAGAGCACAGCCTTCGATATGGATTGCATCTCAATATAAAGAAAACAAAAATCCTCACCACTGGACCAATAAACAACATTCTTATCAATGGAGAAAAGATTGAAGTTGTCAAAGACTTCATTCTTATAGGATCAACTATCAACACTCATGGAAGCAGCAGTCAAGAGATCAGACTACGTATTGCATTAGGCAAATCTGCTGCACACGACCTTTTTAAAGTGTTAAAGAGCAAAGATGTCAGCTTGAAGACTAAGGTGCACCTGACCCAAGCCATGGTATTTTCAATAACCTCATATGCATGTGAAAGCTGGACAGTGAATAAGGAAGACCATAGAAGAATTGATGTTTTTGAGTTATGGTGTTGGAGAAGAATATTGAAAGTGCCATGGGCTTCCAAAAGCACCAACAGATCTGTGTTGGAAGAAGTGCAGCCAGAGTGCTCCTTGGAGGCCATGATGGCCAAACTTCGTCTCTTATACTTCGGACATATTGTCAGGAGGGACCGGTCGCTGGAGAATGATATCATGCTTGGTAGGGTGGAGGGTCAGAGTAAAGGAGGAAGACCCCAGCAAGATGGATTGGCCAAGTGGCAGCATCAATGGACTCAAGCGTGGCAACGATAGTGAGGTTGGTCCAGGATCGGGCAGTGTTTCGTTCTGCTGCGCATAAGGGCGCTATGAGTCAGTACCGACTCAATGGCACCTAACAACATATATCGTTTTTAGGTTGACAGAAAATAGTAGCTTTATAAAATCTCTTCCGAAAGTACCATTTGGGAACCATATGCTGAGAAAGTATGAAATTATAATCCAATTCTTGTCATGCTCAGTAAAGCGAAAGCAAGGCAGATGGATTCTAAAAGATCTAAATCTGAAGGTAAGTGGTTCCCAGCTGAGGCAGAAAGTTCTTCACTGAGGGAGGAAAAGGCTGAGTTACCGTGAGGAAGTGTGCAGGAGAGGCTGGATGTCAGCCCAGGACTGCAGAGTTCTACAAAATGGGTCTACCTGGATTCCAAGCAGCCCGCCATCACCCGGACCTTCCGTCCAGGGCAGCTCAGTGAGGTCGCTGTGGAGGTTTTCATGAGAGAACCTGAGCTAGGCACCAGGGGTAGAAATAGTCCCTTATCCTCAGAAAGCTCATGGTCTAGGGGGCTGTTTGAACAATCATTACAGTCGCAGATGCAGAGTGCAGGGAGTAACACATTCGAGGGACCAGAGAATGGTGAGGATGATGGCCGGGGAGGGTTCCCCATGCCCCACTGGGGGCTGAGAGGTTCTGACATCTGGCCTGAGTGCTAGCAGTGAATAAGATGTGGATGACAGGATGTTCCAGGCAAAGGGACAGTGCATGCAGCTGAGACCAGGAGGACACGGGACATTGCAAGAGAAGCAAGAGATTGTGTAGTAACTAAAGCACAGGATGGGGGTGAGGATGGGAGAGGAGTAAGAGGGGAGGCTGTGGGGGCTCTCCATGTTATCAAAGGTTTGTAGCCCATGTTACAGAGAATGGAATTTGTTCTATAGAGCCAGAGCTTAAGTAAAGAAAAGAAAATTCAATTACCTGGTACCTTTCATGGAAGATCCACCAAAAGCTATCCAGCAACATGGCTCGTGGGTAGGGAGAAGAGAGAAACTTCTCTAATTCTTTATCTATACAGAAAGACTTACAAAGAAACAAAATTCAAATTACTGTTGTTATTGTTAATGTTTTGAAATTCCCCTGGAGCCCCAGTCAAACTCATAATCATCTTCACTCAAAACTGGTCTTTCTGCGCCCCATGACTTGGTTACGCATACCACCTTCCTGCTTGCCATCTTTGGAGTGAAGATATTGTGCAATATAGTTTTTTTTTAAAAAAACAAACAAAAAGCCTAACTTTTTACATAAGTTCATTTAGCCCCTACAATACTTGAATGAGACATGCATTAATATTTCCATTTCACAGATGAGAACACTGAGGACCAACAAGGTAAAGTCACTTCCCTAAAGTAATACAACCCAGGGCCAGGATCAGGAGCCATAACTTCTAAGGAGCATTCTGGCTTCTCCCAAGACAGATGCGTTTGTTGTTCTGACATATTCAGTTTTCTTCACCAACACCTAATTCGATGGCATTAATTCTTCAGTCTTTCTTATCCATTGTCCAATTTTCAACATGCATAGCAAGTGAAATGAATCAGCGAAGTTGAGATGAGTGTGGGATTAAGAAGAAAAAATAGACATTGGACAAGACTTTCAAGTTAGCTGACAGCAGCATGACTTTCAAGTAAATGGACTCTACATGAGATGGAAAGAGCTGGCGAGAGTGGAATTTGTTGGATGGGTTTTAAGGTCCTCCAGAGATGGATTCTGTGAGTCCTTGGAATAATATTCAGGGTAAGAAATGAGATACCCAACGGTGAAGGGCAGGAAGATGCTGGTTGTTACTGTTGTAGTTAGGTGCTGTTGAGTCCGTTTTGACTCACACTGACCCCATGCACAGCAGAACGAAACAATGTCCGATCTGAGCCAACCTCACTACCGCTGCCACACTTGATGCCATCAATGATGCCACCTGGCTGATCCATCTCGTTGGGGGTCTTCATCACTTTCTCTGACCCTCCATCTTACCCAGCATGATATCCTTCTCTAGCGACTGTTCCCTCCTGACAATATGTCCAAAGTATGAGAGACGAAGTTTAGCCATCTTGGCCTCCAAGAGGCGGCACCTCTTCCAAAACAGATCTATTGGTTCTTTTGGCAGTCCATGGCACTTTTAGTATTCTCCTCCAACACCACAATTCAAAGGCATCAATTCTTCTACGATCTTCCTTATTCTTGTCTGAGAGCAGAGGACTGAATCATGCCTTCTTAGTTGCCTTCTTAGAGACGGAGCCCAGAGGAGGCATCTAACTTCTCCCTAGGGCATCAGGGAAGGTTTTAAGAATGAAAATAATTGAATGAAAAAAAGAAAATTTGAGAAGATCTCCGGGAGGTGAAAAAGCCTGGACTGGAGGTTGTGACACCACACAATGCATTGTTGTTAGGTACCTTCCAGTCAGTTCCCACTTTCCACGACCCCAGGCACAACAGAACCAAACACTCCCCCATCCTGTACCATCCTCACAATTACTCCTCTGTCTGAGCCCATTGGTGCAGCCACTGTGTCAATTTAAGGGTCTTTCTCTTTTTCATTGACCCTCTACTTTACCAAGCATGATATTCTTCTCCAGAAACTCGTCCCTCCTGATAACATGTCTGAAGTATGTGAGATGAAATCTCACCATCCACCCTTCTACAGAGCATTCTGGCTTTACTTCTTCTAGAAGCGCATTTGCTTATTCTTCTGGCAGTTCAATATTCTTCGCCAACACCATAATTCAAAGGCATCAGAATTGTTCTCCAGTCTTTCTTATTCACTGTCTAGCTTTTGTGTACATATGAGATACGACACATTTAGGCGTATACAAAGGGTTTCAATGTAGTTGAAGCTCTGGGTGTGGTGGTGACAGTCCAGGCAGGACTGTACCTGGACCTGGGTACAGGGACCAAGAGATGTTCTGAAACTAGACAAGGGAGATGGGCAACTGACACTGATGGATTTTCAACATGGTGAGATTGGAGTTCTAGAAAGATCTTTGGTGGCAGTATAGAAGATCCATTAAAGGGGAGCAAGGCTGCAAGGCAGACGATAAACGAGCAGCAAGTGCAACGATCTATGCAAGACACTGTGGAGTCTGAACTTGACAACGGCAGTGAATGGAGGAGAAAATACAGTAACAACAGCAACTAAATCTTACTGTGGTGGCTTTCAAGTTGCTATGGCACTGAAAGCTACGACACTGATATCTCAAATACCAGAGGGTCATCCATGGTAGACAAGTTTCATTGGCGCTTCCAGACTAAGACAGACTAGAAGAAAAGGCCTGGTGATCTTTCTAAAAATTAGCCAGTGACACCCAATGGAATATCGTTCACCACAGTGCTGGAAGATGAGTCCTCCAGGGTAGAAGGCAATCAGAATACACAGTGGTGGCAACAGTGGGCTCAAACACAGCAACAACAGCCAGGATGGCACAGGACTGGGCAACGTCTCATCAGAATCAACTCAACGGCACCACCAACAGGATACTCAACCAAAAGAGCGTGAAGACCTTTGCTCGGGTAGAAAATATACAGGTTTGGGAATGAACCTAGGCTCGGGTTCTAATTTCAACTAGGTCACTTACAAGCTGTGGACCAAAAGCAAGTGATTCAGTTGTTCTGAATCTCAGTTTCCTCCAGTGTAAAATGGGGTTGGAGGCATCTGCCCCAGGTTGTTGTAAAGCTGGGGTGGGGGTGGGGGCAGGGAGCCTAGCCCATGGCTGGTACCTTTGGGTAAATCATAGGTCAGCTGTCCCTTCTCTTTCCTTACCTTGCCACTGAGGGGGTTCTTCTCAGTCCGGACCACATTGCTCACTATGTCACAGAATTTCACCCCATTTGGAAGTTCATTTGGCCTAGACTTGTTAAATTCAGGATACTGGTACAGTTCCACTAGCAGATTTTTATCTGCTGTTTTCTAAAGGAAGCAAAGGAGAAGAATCTAAACAATGGGCTCCATCGTGTGGACCACCGGAAACAATAAAGTATCTTCCCCTTCTTATTATGAAGACGACATAACAACCTTACAAGGTTACAGGTTCAAGCCCACCCAGAGCCTCCACAGGAGAAAGACCTGAGGATCTGTTCTCGTAAAGATTGTTGTTGTTGTCAAAACAACAATATCTTGACTCTATGTGCAACAGAACAAAATACTGCCTGTTCCTGTGCAATCCTCACAATCGCTGCTGCCTGGATCCATTTTCTTTCAGACACTGTGTCAATCCATCTTGTAGAGGGTCTTCCTCTTCTTCACTCACCCTCTACTTTTTCCAACATGATGTCCTTCTCCAGGGATTGGTCCCTCCTGATAACATGTCTAAAGTATATGAGATGTATAGACTTGCCATGCTCCCTTCTGAGGAGCATCTGACTGTATTTCTTCTAGGACAGATTTCTTCATTCTTCTAGCAGTCCATTACATACTCACTATTCTGCGCTCACACTATAACTCAAAGGCATCAATTCTCCTTTGGTCTTCTTTATTCATTGTCCAGCTTTTGCATGATTGTGAAGGGGTTGAAAATACAATGGCTTGGATCAAACACGTCTTAGTCCTCAAAGTGACATCTTTATTTCCTAAAACTTTCAAGAGGTGTATTGTAGCAGATTTACCTAATATAATACAAGGATTTCTTTCTGTGTGTGTGAAAAAATTCCATGCCCTTTTTTTTTTTTCTGTTGTGGAATTTACTTTAACCAACTTTTAGAAAAGACAAATATATCATTTTTTGACATAATCTCCTTGCTTTTCAATACACTTTCCTTTATTCAAAAATGCTTTAGGCTGAGCTGCAAGCCACAAATTCACTGCTGTCTTCACTTCTTCACCAGAGATGAATCCTCGTCCTCAAAGAGCTGATTTCAGGCAAACTACAATGATTTATTGACTGCTGATTTCATGGGTGTTGAGTGTGGCTCCAAGTAAAATGGAATCCTTGATGACTTCAATCTCCGCCCCATTTTTCACCGTTACTTACTGGCCTAGTTGTGAGGATTTTTGTTTTCTTTATGTTAAAGTGTAATCCACATAGAAGTCTGTAGTCTTTGATCTTCATTACTAGGTGCTTCAAATCCTCTTCACTTTCAACAAGCAAGGATGTGTCATCTGCATGTCACAGGTTGTTAACGAGTCTTTGTCCTGTCCTGATGCCCCATTCTTCTTCATGCAGTCCAGCTTCTTGGATTATTTGTTCAGCATATCGACTGAATAAATCTGGTAAAAAGATACAACCCTGTCACACACCTTTCCTGATTTTAAACCACATAGTATCCACTTGTTCTGTTCAGACTAATGCCTCTTGGTCTATATATAAGTTATTCATAACACAATTAAGTGTTCAGGAGTTTCCATTCTTTCAATGCAATCCATAATTAATTGTGATCCATACCATCCAATGCCTTTGCATAGTAAGTGAAACACAGGTAAACAAACATCTTTCTGGTATTCTCTGCTTTCAGCCAAGATCCATCTAATATTAGCAATGCTAGCTCTTGTTCTATCTCCTCTTCTGAATTCTGCTAGAATTTCTGGCAGTTCCCCATCAACGTATTCCTTCAACCATTTTAATCATATTAAGCAAATTTTAATTTGTATGTGATATTAATGAGATTGAATAGATAGAATTTTATGAGACCAATGAACTATTCAACAGAAATACCTTTTTTCAACACATAAATGATACCTATATACCTGTACCTTGCCAGAGAAATACACAGGAATCAAATCAACTATATCTGTTGAAAGAGACAATTGTTCAATAAGCTGTATTTCATTGGCTCACCTTTCTTTGGAAGGAACATGAATCTGGACCTTTTCCAGTCAGCTGGCCAAGTAGTTATCTTCAAAATTTCTTGGCATAGATGAGTGAGTGTGTCCAGGATTGCATTCATTTGTTGAAACATTTCCATGGGTATTCTGTCAATTCCTGGAGCCTTGTTTTCACGAAGGCCTTCAGTATAGCTTGGATTTCATTCAATAACATCAGTTTTTGAACATGTGCTACTTCCTGAAATGGCTGTCAACCAATGTATCTGCATCATACAATATTTTGCCCATAGACTCCTTCAAGTTGTAGAACTTGATGTTTGAGTTTTTCTTCAGTTCTTTCAACTTTTGGAAATACTGTTTTTGGTATTATACGTCTCCATTGTGTCTTTGGAAATAATGTTTTTCCTTTCTAACTCCAAGTCTCTGTACATTTCATTCTAATACTATTCTATGTCTTCTAGAGCTGTCCTTTGACATCTTCTGCTCAACTCTTTTATTTCATCGTTTCTTTCATTTACTTTAGCAACTGTACATTCAAAAGCAAGTTTCAGAGTCTCCTCTGACATCCATTTTGTACTTTCCTTTCTTCCTTGTCTTTTTAATGACCCTTTGCTTTCTTCATGTATGTTTTTGATGTCATTCCATAACTTGTCTGGTATTCAGTTATAAGTGCTCAATCTATCAAATCTATTCTTGAGATGGTCTCTAAATCCAGGTGTGATACACTCATGGACTTGTTTTAATTTAATTTTCTCCAGCTTCTACCTGAAATTGCATATGAATAATTGATGATCTGCTCCCCAGTTAGGCCCTGGCCTTGTTCTGGCTGATGATATTGCACATCTCCATTGTCTCTTTCAATAGATACAGTTGATTTGATTCCTGTGTATTCCTCTGGCAAGGTACAGGTGTATAGGTGCCATTTATGTTGTTGAAAAAAGGCATTTCCGGTGAATAGTTCCTTGGTCTTGCAAATTTCTATCATGTGATCTCTGTAAAGATTATAGTCTAGCAAATCCTATGGGGCAGTTCTACTCTGTTTCATTGAGTTGCTATGAGTCAGACAGAATTGATTGGACAGCATCTAACAACAACACAACATTTAGAACACCAGGGAACAATTATGGTCCTGGAGCCTTTGACCAAACATCTGTTTCCATTATTTCTACAGTGAAACCTGTAAGAGCCAGAACTCAATGGGATTGCATTGTATTTCCAGATCTCGTAAGTTCTGGGGGGCGTGCAGTGGCTCCATATGATGAGAAATGGACAGCGAACCACTAAGTCCACTGTTCAAGCCTGCCAGCCTCTCTGCGGGAGAAAGATGAGGCTCTCTGTTCTTGCAATGATTTAAAGCCTCAGAAACCCTATAAAGGATCGCTATGAGTCAGAATGGGCTCAACGGCACTTAACAAAAAGCAAAACATAAATTTTCTGCCTTTGGCAGAGTGCAGTCTTACCACTCTTCTGTTACTCTCTAGTAGAGAAAATATTTTCGTTTTCCGTCAACGGCAGGTTTCTGCCTTACCTGGATTCCAGCATTCACAGGTTTTTCTATTTTCCCTGTTAGTCTTTGAACAGATACAAACCCACAGATGCAACTTTAATCACTGTATATACTTTCATGTTCTGCTTAATGCACTTAATTTTTAACGTTTCATGTACCTACACTGTCATCAGAATTATCATTAAAAATTACATCATATCCTGTAAAGAAGATGGGCTGTATAATTTAACTAACTACCTGCTTACTGATAAAGCCACTGTAGTTTCTTTCGATTGATATTACTATCATTAATAATTTGTATCATATAGTTGTTGTTTTTTCTCCTTTTAGATGATTTACTTAGCATAAATTTCTCAAAATGGTATCACTGGATCAAGAGTTAATCAAGTTTATGGTTCTTGATGAATGTCATTAAATTGATTTTGGTGCTGACTTGTTAAGTGCTATCAAGTCAATTCTGACTCATAGAGACACTGTGTACAGTTTCCGAGGAGCAGCTGGTGGGTTTGAGCTACCGACCTATGGTTTGAAGTCCAATCCTGATCCGACAGTGCTACACACAAGGAGTCCTACATTGACTTTAGAATTTTAAAAAGTATCACTATACTTTAAACCAAACAATAGATAAGGTTAATCAGTAACGAATTTGGGCATTGTATTCTTTTAAAGAACTATATGGAATCAAATAAATAACAGCAACTGAAAAGGTTAGATAGGAAGCCTAGGGCACAGTGAGTTTGCATTAATGGTGGACGAATAATTTGCATAAGGAGCGTGAGAAAGGTTGGCTGCACAATCTGAAGAATGCTACCAATGTCACCGAATTGTACACATAGACATCGCTAAGCTGGTAAATGTTTGGTTGTGTGTATTTTAAACCACAAAACGTAAAATTAACTTATTTACAACTAAATGATTTCATTTAAATATGACTACTACAAATGTAAAAATACAGAAAAGTGGAAAGAGGAAACCAATTACTATCAGCCCAAAGTAGCCACAGTAGATGTTTTTAAGTACGGCGTTACTGTCTAGTCAGATCAGCTATCGCAGTGGAAGAGCAATTTCCAGTGACCAACTGGGTGGGCTCTGAATCAGACCACCTGGATTCAGATGCTGTTCCACCACTGACTAGCTGCACCACCTTGAGCAGGGCACGCAAAGGTCTTCAGCCACCCTCAGGAGACGAGTATGACAGTTTCAAGACAGAATCTCAATCATTAGGCTTTACGTAGTTTGGGGATTTCCTAGCTTAAAAGGAGAAAAAAGAATGACTACGATATATTGTTTCATATTCTCTAGCATTTAAAACTTTGAATACATATGACCTGGTGACAGTTTCTTTTCCCTTTAAATGGACAGCAAGCGTGTTGTTGTAATACAGTGCCGTCAAGTCGGTTCTGGTTCATAGTGACTCTGTATAGGGTTTCTGAGAAGTGGCCAGTAGGTTTGTTGTGATTAGCAGTCCAGTACTTAATCCACAGCACCATGTCAGGAGCCCAGGGGTGGCTGGGAAGTGAGTCAGCCTGCTGTAGGAGAAAGCCAAGCCATGGAGGCAGAGGACCAGGGCAGGAAGGCAGGCTCTGCCATCAGTGAGCTGCGTGGCAACTTATTGTTCCAAAAGGGAAATGCCTTCTGAGTTCTTAAAATCAGCAGGCAAATGACGTCTGAAACACACCCCATTCCGAGGCAGGGCCCATGATGGCCGGCCGTAGATACTGTGAGAAATCCTGGAGTTATTAAAGTGTTTGAAGACCCTCTCAGAAGGGAACTGTACGATGCCCCTGCACAGTCTCCCGCCAAGTATTTCATCCCCAGTAATAATATCTACTTTCTGCCCAGCAGAAACCAATCCGAAACTGATCCAGGAATAAATCTCTTACTCTCTTTAAAACGGAAGATTTGGCGTTCTCCTGTTCTGAACAGCTGCAGGACTTTATTTGATTCTTGAGGGGCTTGTCTGCGGAAGAATGAAGAACGAGAAGTAGTATGTGAGTGCCCATGGGGTCTGTCCATGACTGTGTGTAATTGTAACTAGAGCTTTCCATTAGGCCTGGGGGTGGGGGGGCAGAAGACCCTCACACTACTCATTTCACTAGCTCCTCACTACATTACTGACCTATGAAGGTTCAGTAATTATCAGATTACACTACACCGTTTGATCCAGAGAAGTAGCAAGGAGGAGCAGACACAACCTGGGCTTTGGATTCAGAACTGGGTTGGAACCTGCCCCAGACATGCTGTGTGACTTCAGGCGACTTATCCCACCCCACCCTCAATACCTGCTTCCTCATCTACAAAATATAGTCAGTGGGGGGGGAAAAAA